GACATGTGACTCAACCGGGTACAAAGTGTTATAAATTTGTTACTACAGGATTAATTTAGTCCAAATGAGATTTTTTTTTGTTTTTAATTCTGCTTATCCTATGGATGCGGACTGTATCCTCACCGGCTGCTGGTTTACAGCATGATATAGTGGTATCCCCTGAGAGCTGGGGCAGGATGATGCAGTAGTAGTTGCTGGGCGCAACTAGAAATGACTATTCCGAAGTAATTGTTTTTAACTCGGGATGTGCTGAGCTGGACCGTCCTCTGAGCGGGACCCAGCGAGGGATGAAGTTCTCCTGCAAGTGCGGCCTGAGCCCAGAGCCTAAAGGGCAATTAACAGAGAGCGGGTTACGTGGAAAGCAGGGACTGTGGGTTCATAAACAGGACGTGGGGCCTTGGGGCTGGGGGTGGGCTGTGGCTGAGAAGCTGCACGAAGCAGAGAGGGGTCTATGTCTGGGACAAAGGGGCTGTGTTTTAAATAAGGAGTTTGGTGTAGAGCTGCTGCGAATAGAGCTTAATGTTTTTCATACTGACCCTTTTGGGTTTTAAAATTCATTTGGTAATTAAAAGTCATTTGCTACTGCTACTACAGTTGAGTATTTTTACTTTCCAGATGGCAAAGTACTGAACTTTATAATTTAAAGAGATCCTTAAATTTGGGCATACTCCCTCTATTATGTTAACTATTTAAAGCTACAATCTTTCAAACAGGATTGACCAAATTAAGGGCTGATGTCTTTGATTTAGCTGCATTGTGAGCTTTGTTCTACTGTATTGATTGTAAGCCTGCAAAACTGTATAGGCTAATATAAAACACTTAAAATAGGCGAACTCCGTCCTGATAACACTATTGGCAAAATTCAGGGTTGCCAGCATTTTACAGTGTATCCAAGAATTTCCCGATGGACTTTTATTACCTGAAGATACAGACAAGTCCAGCAGCACACAGCCAAATAGGCAAGTGCAGTACAGGAAAACACAGCTTTCCAGCTAAGTGGCTACGCATCACTTCAACCAGAGGAAGGGGAACTGAGGAGGTTCGCAGGAACGTGGATGATGTTGCCTTTTGGGGAGTTCCTTGTTATTAGGGTACAGAACCATTGTTTTTCCTAATTCTAACCAGTTCCAGGTAGATTCAACTCACTTTTCCCCATTACTTTCCTGTCCCCTCTCTGGGTCAAGGCTATATGGAACTGTGGTTAAACAGTATTTTGAAATAAAACAACCTTTTCTACTACACTGAGTTTGCAGCTCAGTCCAGCAAAACAAGATTAACACTGGAAAGATGGCAAATTGCAGCCAGGATGCAAGACTGAACAGGGTGCAGAGGGGAAATGACAGCAGGTTGTTAAAATAGTTTTGATGTCAAAGCAAGGAAAACATGTGGCTACATCCTACCTTGTCTTGGCTGGCTCAAAACTAGTGAGAGGCTGTCCCAAGCCTGAGGACCACCGTGACTCAACACCCTCCCCTGCATTACAGGGGACGGTTCACTTCAGTTGTGCAGCTTGATTTCTTGTACAGCAGTTGTACGTCATGATTTCATCTTCCTGCGTGGATGATGGGTGTAGTGAAAGGTCCACAGTGTTCCACTCTTAAACAGGCTCCTAAGGTTTCTCAGGGGTTTCTTTCTGGGTTTCTTCATATTTCTACAAAAGCCAGACAGTGCGCTTTATTTTAAATAGAGCAGTGCCTTAAGGATAAAAAAAAAAAAACGGGGGGAAAGAAGAAGAACTGAGAATTTTGAAATAATTTTTAGATATTTAAAGCAATGGAAAGAGACAGGTTCTGAGAGTCTACTTTTACTTTCATACTAGCAGATTAGATGTTATCCTTTGAGTGACATCAGTAAATACTTAGTGCTGGAGATTCTTAAGGGCGTTTATAAGTCTGCCAGACCTTAGGCAGAAAGCCCGTACTCTAGTGCTTTTCTGGAAAGCACCATTCTGCCTTTTGTATCAGCTCCCCTTGTCAAAAGTTGAACCGTCACAGTTTATAAAGAGTTCTGGCACAGAGAATAAATCCCCAGTCTGGGGACGGTAAATAATCTTTTTAGAGATGTGTGTGGCAGTAGCAAAGCTTTCAGTGCTAGATGTTAAACGAAGAAGTCATCTTGCAGTCTCAATTGCTAGCATAAAATTCAGTTTAAATCAAGTTTCATTGTGTTGGGCAACACTACAACTACAAATCCTTTTACTGTATTTCTGCCTCTTTCTTGTGTTATACAAATGCGGTTTGCATTTTAAAAAAATGTATTATATCATAGATGGGTAGAAAAAAGCCTAATAAGTCATTGTATCCATTTCGTCTGCCCCTGTAGAGATGAATGCTTTGGCTAGTCTGGTTTTAAATATCTCAAGTGATGAGGCCTCCACCTCTTCCCACGAGGGACTTTTCAGCCATTTAGTAGGCATCTTTGTTAGG